TTCCCTTCCCTTCCCTTCCCTTCCCTTCCCTTCCCTTCCCTTCCCTTCCCTGTCACAGCCACCTGTGCTGGGGACAGAGCAGCCCCGGTGCTGGCATGTGACAATCCAGGGGGTGAAGGGAAAAATCCAGAGTGGGGCAAGAGGAGGCTGGGAAGGGGCAGAAGCCAGGAGTGCTCCCTGTCTGGGTGGTGAGGGAAAGCCAGGGCTGGGTCCAGGCTTTGCCACTGGGTGCTGGCACTCAGGGGTGTGCCCAGGCAGTGCCAATCCCAGGTAATGGCATTCCTGAGCAGTGCCAATCCAGGACAGTGGAATTCCCAGGTAATGGCATTCCCAGGGGGCAGTGCCATTCCCAGGCAATGCCCTCCCGGGGCAGTGCCATTCCCAGGCAGTGGCATTCCACGATAATGGCATTCCCGGGCAGTGCCATTCCCAGGCACTCTCCTGGGAGCAGCAGCATCCCCGGGAGGTTTCTCCACCCTTGGAGGCCGAGCTCTGGCTGTGCTGCTGCTCCAGACCAGGCTGAGGAGCTGCTGGTGCCCTCCAGCAGCCAAGGGACAGCTCCTGGATCCTCTGGGGAAGCTCTTCAATCCCTTTGGAGCCATCTGGCACACAGGGACGCTGAGAGCAGCCTGGCACAGCCGAGGGCAGGCACTGAGGCCTCTGACAAACCATGGCAGTTTGTCTCCAATCTTTGCAGGAAAACCAAGCCTCGGGAGTGCCCAGCCCAGCCAGCCCTGCCTGGGCCAGGGAGAGCTGTGGGGGCAGGAGGATGAGAAGAAAAGGGCTGGAGAAGGGTCCTTGGGATCTCTGGTCCCTTCCAGGCCAGCTCCACCTGCACCCCAGCTGGCTCCAGGTGCTGTCCTGGCCCCTTCTGGGCAGCTCCAGGGATATCCCAGCTCTGAGGGCCCTGCCTGGCTCTTCCCCCACGGGGGACATGGGGACTCTTGGCAGGGACAGAGTGCTGCATTTATTTCCCTCCTCCTGCTTGGAAGTGCCTGGGCTGGGCAAAATTCCACATTGGATGGAAAAGTGCTGGCCCAGGAAGGGAGGGTGAGGAGCCCTGAGCCCCAGGGCCCCTGACACTGGCAGCTGAGGTTGCAGGATGGGGACATCTCCCCTTTCTCCCATTTTTATTTATAAACAGGTATTTTCCTGGACAGCTGGAGGCTGGAAATGATTTCATTCCTTTCCTCTTTATATTTGGCTTTCAACAAAATAAACAACACTGACTTGCTACCTACTGCCGGTGTGCTGTGCTCTTTGAGCTGCTCCCCAACCTCTGCCTGCCCAGAGGCTCTGGTGGCTGTCCCCAGGTGCTGTTCCCTGTGCCCGGGGCAGGGTGACACGTCCCTGCCAGGGCCAGGCGGGCACCGGGGACATGCCGGGAACCCCCAGGGTACAGCCAGGGTCACCAGGGAAAGCTGGAAACCCCCAGGATGCAGCCAGGGTGTATCCCAGGGTGCCTCCTAGGGAAGCCCCCCGTCATGGGGGGTCACCTCTGCGTGTCCCCGGGCAGTGCCAAGGCTGGGGCAGCCGGGG